TTACACCATGTTTTCTGGTATACAGAGCACCTTCATTTGCATGTCCTCATTAAATCCTCACACCAGCCCTGAGAGCAAAGGGAGAAGAAGAGCACAGGTTTCTCGCAGAACGCAGGGAGCCCAGAGAAACGACGGCACCTGTCCGGGATCACTCAGCCGGCCTCCAGGGTGTGACTGTTCTTTGAATTCTGCTTCCATTGGTCAAGAGCTTCTCTGCCTTGTCCATGGGTTTCAGTAACGGAGGGATCCTAACGCCGTGACCCTGTGTGCCAGCCCTGGGGCACGCCAGGGTCAAGGCACAGTTCGATCATCAAAAATAACCTCAGAATAACTCGAGACTCCCACTCAACATTTCCCAGTCGTTATCAAGAGACACCAAATCCACAGCAAAACGTAAAATCTGCCTTTATCTCTGTCCCCTCTTCTGCATTTACAGACACCAGCTTCTCCTAATAGCTCTTTTGAAATATTTATTATGAAATTTTTTCATATATTATGAAGATATTTATTACGAATGTATGCAGTCTGAAAAATAACAATAAGCTCTCATGGCCCTACTGGCTAGCTTAAGAAACAGAACATGAAACCGCCTTCAGAGCCCTGTGGATGCCCCTCGATGCCAGGCCCTCATCCCAGGTAGCTGCTTCCCTGCCGTTATCCTCTTGCTTTTCTTCACAGTCGTGGACTCTCCCCAGGCCACACGCCTCTGGGGCTTTGGATCTTGCCCTTGCCCTACCCCAGTCTGGGTGGCCTTTTCTAGAGGTCAAGAAAGAGGCTGGAGAAAAGGGACGGAGGACCCAGGCAGACTCCTTTGCCAGGTGGGGGGAATGGAAGGGTAGGGACACTTGTGCTACGTACTTCTCGCCCAGTCACGCGCACGTTGGAAGGGAATGGGTAGGGGCTTCCTTTTAAACTTATTCCAAGAGCAGCACTGCTGCTCGTCATCTGGGACAAGCCCTTGTGCCATGCGGACGTCTGAACTGGAAGAGAACTTATGCAGACTGGGGCTTCCTAAAATTGTCAGTTCTTCTCCGGATATTTCCTGAGCAATGACTGTGTGCCAAGCAGTGTCACAGGAACAGGGGACGATGTGGCGAGAAATGAGACAAGTTCCCTGACCTCAAGGAATTTACTGTCTAGGGCGGGTCTTTTCCCTGCCCACACTGGCTGTGATTCTCCCTTCTTCCCTACTAAAGGTTGGGGCGGGGACAAAATTATATAATAAAAATGGAAGTGCTTGGCAAAGCTGAGGCAGATTCTGGCTGACATGGCTTGTAAGACACTCCAGGGTCCCTGAAGTGGGGTCCGCGGTGCACTGGAAGGGTCTGGGCTCTGGAGCTTTGGGTACTCACACCTGTAGTTACTCTTGTCTGCCACTAGATGTCAGTGATGTGTAGGAGGGGGCAGGGAGCTAAGGGTGATGAGCTTTTTACCAAGTTGCAAAAAGTGCAAAATAACTGCTTACTGTGTGCTAAATGTTGTTTGTTCTAAGTGTGGTATATTTATTATGGCATTTGATGTTCACAGAAACCTTATGATTCGCATATCCTTACCTCCATATTACAGTCAGGGAAACTGGTGCTCAGAGAGGGAAAGGATATGAGTGGCCATCTCCCCTCCTCCATCTGAGAGCCCCAGACAAAGATTGCTAAAGAGACTACAAACAGCCCTTGTATGGAAGTGTTCAACCCTGCAGCTCTTTGCTGCTGCTGAACTGCTATGAGCAGCATCTCCCCCTACTTGGCGCAGCAAATGGCTGCACAAATACATGGGAAACAACAAGCTCCACAACCTTAACACCCTCGTGCACATGTTGCAGTACAGGTGTTCACTAGGCAGACAGAAGGGTGCAGGTGGACAAGAGCCAAGTGGTGGCAGCAGGGCTGTCTGTGTTCTCTGTCAGGTATGTTGGAAGCAATCACGGCAATTGCCAGCTTGGGCTCGACATGAAGATTACAAAAAAGTCTCCAGGGACCTGCCTTAAAGAGCATGTAGATGCACGAGGTGTCAGCAGTGAAGAGCTCTAGTCCAGTTCCTTCCTAAACAGTCACTGAGAAGTTCTGCTGAAAAATTAAAGGTGAAAGTTGGGGAGAGTTCAAGGTCAATTCACAGCATGAGGCATGACAGGGCAAAAGACATGGCCCATGATGTGGGATGCTCCACAAAGGACTGCAGGGAGGCCCTGCAAAGGAGCGAGGGGCTGGTGCCAAGGCACTGGGGCCAGATCCCCACTGGAGAAAACCCCGGCAGCACCCCTCAGTTGCACGCCTCCCAGGAGGGGAACCCAAGTGGTGCCTGAAGCAAACCAGAGACCCCTGGGAATGGCTGAGGGACTGGGCAGCTCAGACAGGTTCAGAGGTCCTGACGGGCACATTCGGATGTCTATGTGATGTCCCAGGCACTCCCAGCACAGGGTGAGTTACCAGAAGGCAGGTTTCGGCTCAGTGGGATAAATGCTTACATTTATACCCATGAAACAGTTTACAAAGCCATTTTTATATGTCTCATCTCATTCAATCTGGATTGTTACCTTTTGAGGGAGCTTTTTTCATCCCTACTTTACAGATGGGGAAAAATGAAGGTCAGAGAAGCTCACTCATTTCCCCAAGTTCTGGAGTTGGCATTAGAATTCGGTCTTTCTACCTGCAATGTCACCTTGTTTCCACACTGAAATTGTCCAGAGCGGACGATGATGATGTTCACGATGTTGTGGGTGGCTGGGAGGTAGGACACATCAGTCCTGGTTTACAGATGGAAGGTCTGAGCCCCAGAGGGGGCCTGTCCCTTGCCCAGCGTGGCACAGCTGGTAGCTGGGAGGGATGGATTTGAATGTGGACTTGAGTCTGCAATCCTCGCCCTCTTTCTGCACCTCTTCCTTGTGGGAGTGAGCGAGCTCCTAGTTACTGGAGGGCTGGGAGCAAGTTCCTGCAGCCTCTCAGCCCGCTTACCTTTAGGGTGCGTGCTCCCCAGGTGAATGGTTGGGAGTGGATGGCAGCGCCGGCCCCTGCTTCCTACCCGGAGTCTCTCGGAGGCGTGCTGAGTGAAGGGAGCGCTCAGGCAGGTGCCTTGCTTGAAGCGCATTCCTGGGAAGTGAAGGGCAGGGGTTGGGGAGGAGGCTGCCAGGAGCCAGGGGCGGGGAGAAGGGTCCTGGGGGCAGAGCTAGGTGTTGGCTCTGAGGAGAAGGGAAGCCGGGGAGATAAGCAGAGCCGGGAGTGATGTGATCAAGCTGTTTGTGAAAGATGATTCTCACTGAGCCGGGAGATGGGGCGGGGGAGACACAGGAGACCCACGGGAAGGCTTTTGAAAGCGGCAGATACCGGGGCCTGGGCAGCCCTGACCAGGAGGGCAGACGGTCCCCGGGACAGACGATTCGGTGAGTTGAGAGTAATCCACACACCTTTGCAATTAATTATGCTTAGTTCTTCGCAGCCTTCACCAGTTACCGGATTAAATGCCTCCCTTCCTCTCTGTGGGTTCAACCTTCAAGCTGCTAGTTTAGTGTATCTTGGGCCACTGTTCTGTTTTACTAAATTATCTGTATATTTGTGTATTTGCTTATGGTGGTTCTGTTGACTCCAAATTCCAACCCAGGTGGTGTGAATTTATCAAAGCTTCTTACCTGTTTCAGACTCTGGTCTTAAGAAAAGAAACAGAATGTTAACATAAGCCCAGCGGGGAGCCCGTGGGTGGGAAACAGCATCTACTGTATCCCCAAGGTTGCCAAACGCTGTTGAGACAGATTCGCATGTTCGCTGTTTTGTAACGTCCTGGAAATGCCACCCTGCGTGTGGAGTTTTCTATTCTCAGCTTGTTGGGCAGAGTGGTGTTCACTTTTTCTATTTATTTTTTTGGAGAAAGTTCAAGGGGGAGAAAAAAAAATTCCTTTGGCATATTTTGAAGAGGACAAAAATACAACCTGGCTTTTGTGTGGTGGAAATGTGGGGAATTTCAGTTTCCAAATGTGTGTACTGGAGGAAGCAGGCTGAACTTCGGAGGTTGGGTTCCCAGGGCCCCGGCCCAGGGGAGGGAGGGGACGCGGGCAGGGGCTGAGCTGCCTTGGGAAGTCAGCAGGCGACTGGAGTTAGAGCAGGAGCAGCTTGGGGCTCCTTCCTGAACCTACACAGTCATCAGCTCCAGTGGAGAACAAGAACCCCTCTCTGTCAAACTCACTTACCCAAAGAAAAGAAAACATACCCAAGGAAAGAAAAGCTCTCCAACAGACTAACTCCGTGAGCAGGGTTGGAGGAGGCAGCACAGGGAAGGGAGTGGACTCCTGGGCGCCAGGGTGCCAGCCCCACGACACCAGCAGCCCGCCCTCTGAAGCCACTCTGCGTCCGCGTCTGTGAAATGGGCGTAAGACAGTCCCTCTCTCCAGAGCTGTTAGGACTACATGAGACGATGAATATAATAGCTACTTTTTACTTCACATGCACTAAATATTAATGGTAGTGATTGCTATTATTAGATTTGTCACTGAAATCTTATTTAATTATAAACAGGACCAAATTGCGCGTGTATGTGTGTGTGCACAGGCGGTGCATATGTGCACGCACACCCACGCAAAAATTGGTCTTCCAAGAAAAGGGATTTAAATGTGTGAGAAAGGAACAAATTATTCCCTTCGAGGCTGGGATATCCTGGGAAATTTTCTATAAGTTGCTGAGACTATGCCTTCTCATTGCCAGAATATTCCAAGGAACAGAAGAAAAGTCAGCCAGTGGCCCAGCTGCTAACCCACCCCCGGGCTGTGGGTCCGTATGTTGGGCTAGATTAGTTCTTCTGGCATCCCAGCCTTGCTCGGCTGGGGGTGGGGAGGACATGTCCCAGGGATTGGCTTCCCTGGGTACCTTCCAGACAGCTGCTTTCCTGTCCCAAAGGAACAGACTGTGGGGGAGGTCTGAGGCAAGCCAGGGGAAGGAGAGAGCTGGTGCTTTCCTGGTTTGGGTGGGCCTCATAGGGTGGGGGTTGGGGGGGGAGGTGATCTAGGGACCCGAATTGACTGGATAGACGGTCCGTGCTGACGAGCTCCATCTGGAAATCATCCCCCCAGCAATGGCACCAGCAGTTTTACCCAACACTTTGTCAGCGCATCATCCTAATTCATCTCCTTGTTTCTTTGCCTGTGGACTCAGTGTCAGCCCCACACTGGGCACCGGGAGAAGCACTGGGGCCATCGTGACAGTGAACGTTTGTTGATTGCATACCAGGGACCAGAGTGGTGCTTGGTGCTTAGTGCTTCCTGAGAATGATCCTTGTCACAGCTGGCCCCTAAGGTAGGTAGGCAGTATCCCCATTTTACAGAACGAGAAACAGAGACCCAGAGAGGTTAAGGTACTTGGGGAAAGTCACACAGCTGGTAAGAAGCAGTGTTAGGATCCAGACCCAGGCTCTGACTCTGGCATCCACACTTGTAACCTCTACTGTGTGCATTGTTGCCTGGAGGTGAGCCACCATCCGGGCAGAGAAACAGATGACAATCGAGTGGCACATCGTAGACCTTTGCAGGGTTCACCCTGGCTGGCCTGTCTTGAAAGGTTCGGTGCTGCAATGGGAGTATAGATAGGTTGGAGGCAAATGCAGCCAGGCTTAGCCTTATCTCTGCTGCTTGTAAGAGGTGGGGCATCAACCCCCATGTGCTTCTGCAAATCAGACACAAATATTCACTTGGACACGTTACTGAAAGAAAGAGTGATAACTGAGTGACCTGGCACCTCCTGCACAAGTGCCTCTAAATGGCAATCAGTACTGCAGTTGCTGAAAACCGAGAGTTATGGCTTCAGTGAGTGCTGGGCACCTTGCTTCCCTCCCAGGAGAAGGCCAGGTTAGTCACCAGAGGGCCTCAGGCTGGAAGGGGCCCTAACGAGTCACCAGGTCCCTGGCTGTCCTGGCAGGCTATAGGCCCAGATGTCAGCCCTGGCCAGGGAGTCAGTCTCATTTTATAAACTGCCCAGGGCTGGGTACTGCAGCCTCTCCTCATCACTCATTCGAGCTTATGGAAGAGCTTGGAAGAGCGTAAAGGGATGTGTACTTGCTATAAATGACACGGGTTGTAACTTTTGCCTTTGTTGCTCAAGAAGAACTTGCTAAGTGTGAAGTACTGCATTAGTAGGCAGAATGCAAGAACCAGGGGTTTGGGCATCAGACCTGGGTTCGAGTCTTGCCCTGCTCCTTCCCACCTGGGCATGTCACTTGCCCTTTCTGGGCTTCCATTTCCTCATATGAATAAAGGAGAGTCCTGCCTCTTGCTATGAGGATCGGCTCTAGGGCTGCTTCTGTGGGCACAGCTTCCTGACTGCAGCCTGAACCCCAGTTCCAAGAGTGGCCTGGCCCTGCCCCTTTTCCCCCATCCCAGCCCCTATCAGGCAGGGCCAAAAACACTCAGGCTGGTCCAAGAGATTGAATGGCACATCTCCTGCCAGGCGTGGCTGACTCCAAGCCCTCTTGCAGGGGAGAAGGGACAGATCTGGCCCTGTCCTGGGTCTGGCCTCAGATCCTTTGACCCATCTCTGGACTAATACACAGCTTGAGGCTGGTACAGGCACTGATCTGGGACAGGCTGGAGCCACTGGCAGCCTCGTAAATCAGGCTCCAGCCTTTGAAGCTTGTGCAGACTCCCTGGGAGAGCCGAGCAGCATGCTCTTCTTGCAGTAGGAGCTCCTCCCCCCGGGTCTGGAGTCTCCAGGGGTGAGTGGGGCCTGATTTACAGAGGCTTCTAATAGCAACAGCCCAGCCTGGGAGGGGAGGCCCAGGAAAGAACGAGTATGCCCTATGACCTGGCCTCCCAGGCTGGGGAGACAGTAGGAGCTGCCCTGGAGGGAGGGCCACTCCCTCTGAGCCTGGGTGGACAACATCCCCCACCCCTGTCCCCTACTGGAATTCAGCACTCCTGGCTGAAATATTCATCTCCTCCTTTCAAAGAGGAGTGGGGAGAGGAAATGCCTCCAAACTTGCCACGCTGGGAAAGGGGCCTGGGAGACGAACCTGAGTTCACAGTCAGATCTGGGTCCATACCCCAGCTCTGCCTTTCCTAGGCGTGTGGTCTTGGGCAAGTCTTTTCACATTCCTGAGCGCCACGTCTTCATCTGTCATGTAGAATTTAATATGGCATGGCACAGAGCTGGCACGGGGGATGGCTGGGCTGGCGGATGTCAGGCACACTGCACAGGGACCAGCATGACATAGGCACTCAGAGAATGTTCTCTCCCCTCCTCTCTCCTTACTCCATCCAAATGCTTACCCTGTCTGCCCCCCAGGCCCATGCGTGGGCCACTGCGCAGGCCTGTACTCTCCAGGCAGGAATCTGTGAGCTAGTCTCTGATTACCCCAAGCTTCTGGACCAACACTGTCCGAGGAAAACCTCTGCCGCGGTGGAGACGGGCCACCTCTGCACCCTCTGACGCGGTGGCCACTCTCCACGTGTGCCTATTGTGTTTTTAAAATGTAGACAGTCTAACTAAGCTACTGGGGTTTTAACTTTATTTCATTTTAATTAGAAATGTAAATTTAGCTACATGTGGCTGGTGGCTGCCATACTAGACAGCACAGGCCTAGACCTTGAAGAAGATGACCTGGCGTGAAGACTTGGCTTGGCACTGGCTCAAGTGCATGTATGTGGCCTTGGGCGGGTCTCTGCACCTCTCTGTACAGTAAAGGCATGTGTGCCTCGTTCGGTGCACATGTGCAGACACACATGTTTGTTATGATTATTTAGCGTTTATTGAGTTGAGGGCAGTGGTGGCTCTGGGAGGAGAAGGCAGAGGCCTGGCTTTGGGACGATTGTCTGATTGTACAGATGAGGTTTGCACCTGTGAGACAGGCAGGAGGAGCCCTGGCTCTGACCCCTTCCCTGCGTTGTTGGCCTCTAAGCCATCCCCACTCTGGCGTGGGCCTCCCTCTTCTTTGTTCCCACAGGGTCTAGCACTTTCTTTGCCCCAGGGACTTTCCACACTGGACCGTAAGTAACCATTTGCAGGGTCAGCATCTGCCCCGCCCCCGCCCCCATTTCCATCTTAGCAGATCAGCCCCCAGAGTTTGTCAACAGATGGCATTGGTTAGAGGCTGCAGCCTCTACCCAGAGGAGGACGGTGCCTTGAGATGGACAGGTACCGCAGGAATGGGGGCGGTGGACAGGGAAAGTCAATCCACTCCACTATCCTTAAGGCTGATTTGTAGTCCTTGTACCTGTCACTTGATGGTCGCAAGAAGGCCACCATAGTGCCCATTTATGACAAGGACAGGAGTGGTATCAGCCACAGCCCTCCTAGGCTCCCACTGCCAATGAACTTCCTTTTTCATCTTATTGTCCAGAATTGGGTCACATAATTACCATTAGCTATGAGGAAGGCTGGGAAGTTGAGTACCTGGCAAAGAAGAAATAGGCTTGTCTTGATGGCCTCACCCAAATCAGGATTCATTGCCTAGGGCTGAGCATGGTGCTGTCCCAAACAAAAGTGGCCTTGTGTTATCCTGGAAAAAGAGGTAGAGAGTGGCTCTTGGGTTGGTTACTAGCACTGCCTGCCTGGGTGACCACTGCACAATTAGCATAGCACTTTGTAATTTACCAAGTCCTTACTTATGTAATTCTGCAGGATTACATTCTCCTTGATTTGTAATTCTGCATGCACATCTCAGGGTTGTGAGACAGCTCAGGGATTGTAATCCTCACATTGCAGATTAGGAAAACAAGGCTCGGAGAGGTAGAGTACTTATTCCAGGAAGCAAGGGAGCCAGGCTAGGACCCCGTCCTCCAGACTCTTGAGCTGCCTCCTGTGAGCCGGGAGAAGGACCTCTGCTAAAGGTAGCAACTGGGAGTCATTTATCTTTGTATTCTAAATGCTACCTCAACAGTCTGGCACAAAGGTGTTCAGTGAATGTTTGATTCATCTATCAGTGAAGGCATTACTAGATTAATTTATTAACTCGATCCATGGAGCATGGGGTAGGAATGATGGAGGTTGGTTACCTATTCTTTCTTCAAAATAAGGAAGCATGAGCCCTTACTGGGCCTGGCTGGCTGTCTCATTTCCTAGTTCTCATGTGCACCCTACTAGCCATGTGAGCAGACAGTCCAAGTACAGAGAGGCCCCTGATGGCCATGAAATGGTGGGCAGAGCTGGGTCCATGCATATGACCCAGTCTCCTGAGAACTCAGCCCAGGAGCCAGGAGCGCTCCCTCAGGGGACAGTGAAAGGTCTACTGGGAAAGATACATGACCCTGGCCATTCACTTGGCTCCTTCAGCCTTGAAAGGAGTTCAGCTCAGCACACACTCCATTCATTGCCACAGACCTGCGCCAAGAGCACGCACTTGCGCTCATCACTTTGGAAGTCAGTCTGCTCCCCAGAGTGGGTGCTCCCCAAGGCAGGCTCTGAACCCCACCTGCCTCCAGTGCCTGGCAGCACAGGGATTGGAAAGAGTTGGGAAGGAAGGATGTCAAAAGAAGGACTGACCCTTGCTTCTAAGGCTCGCTATGTTTTGATAGTGAAGACAGACATCCTCCTAAATAACAGACCACCGAGCTGCCTTACAGATACAGGAGCAAGTGACCAAGTGACAGGATGGGAAAGCAATGGAATCAGAGTGGTAGGAGGGGGGAGGGATCTGGGGAAGCTTCCAGAGGGTTTGAGTCTGACTTCCAAGGAAAGAAGGAACGATAGCCAGCAGCCATGAGGGGAAGGGTTCATAGGTAGAAGGCAGCGTGTGCACACAGGTTTGGAGGCAGCAGACGGCAGGTGTGCAGGTCATAGTGGCACTGAGTATAATGTATTTGATAATAGAGAATGGAGGTGAGGAAGGCTAGATCACCATGGGTGTCGGGGGGTGAAGGGCTGTGTCTGCATCCTCCAGTCCTGTGCTTTTCAGACCCCAATGTCGTAGAAGTCACCTAGGGGTCTAATCGCAGGTTTTGATTGAGTAGGTCTCAGGTGCAACCTGAGATTCTGAATTTTGAACAAGCTGCCAGGTGATGCTGATGCCACTAATCTGTGGACCACACTTTGAGTAGCAAGACTTCAAGGAGGGAGCCATTGAAGGTTTTGAGTAGGAACACGACTGTAGTCTGATTTGCTTTTTAGAAAAATTATTCCAAAGGCTGTGAAGAAGCTTCAGCAGGGTAGAAGAATACAGGCAGGATGAGAGATTTATTTTTTCTATATCTCCAACACCTAGAATGATGTCTGGATCATAACAGATAATCAATAGATATATGCAAAAGGAATAAATGAGTCATCTGTGATAGACTTTTTAAATGAGCAAGCAGGAAGAATGAATGAGTCAAGTTATCCCAAACTGGTAAGCCAATATTATATAAATCACTCAGTCGGGCCAGTCCAAATTGAGAATATGTCTTAAGGCAGTGCTTTTCTAACTTGGTTTTAGACAAAGATCTGATTGCTTCCATGAAATTCTAAATGGAGCCCCAATACGTGAGTCACATAAAAAATAGTTAAGTGCCCAGGTTGGCCCAGGGTAGGAGCTCTGGAACTGGGCAGCCCAATCGTTCCCCTTTCTCCCCAGGCCAAAGGCAGATCCCCACTGCAGCCTCCAGACTGTCACAAGCATCAGTCGCCCCCAAAAGCCAGCCATGCCCCCTCCCTGCCCCCAGGCTGGCTGAGGCAGCCCTTCTGCAGGATCTTGGGTGGGGATTTTCTGTTTCTGACTCAATTTCCCCCACTAGACAGTAAAGGCTATGGGCCATGAGAGACCCATCTTGGTATCCTTATGCCCAGCACAGGACCTGGGTCTAATGAGGCACTTACAAAAGCATGATGGACAAGCAAGTCCCAAGGACAGGGCATGAGTTCCCAGAACCCCAGACACGTTAGCCCTTCTCTCCCAAGCAGCAGAGGTAGTGTGGGCGGCAGAGGCATGCAGGGGATGGAGTTGAGATGTTTAGAGTATAACAATTTGGGGTTCATATCCCAGCTCACACACTTACTGACCATGCAACTTTGGGTAAGTCCTGAGTGCCTCTGGGCCTTGGCTTCTCATCAATAAAAGAAATATAACAAACCCTCCCTCCGGAGGGATGCAGTGCAAACCAAGGGAGTTACCAGATGCGAGCTGTGCTTTCTAAGCAGCCCTCTTCACACGCCGCTGTCGCCGGCTCACAGCCTGCCTTGCTTCTGCGTGAGTGTCTGTGTGTTGCATTTAAGCAGGAAGCATCAGTCACGCTGACAAATCTCCGTGTCCCCAGGGGGTGTTCCTAACCAGTTAGAGGTTTGGCATTTATTCTCAACTGCTTGTTGTTGTACTTTTCAAATAGCCAAGTATTTAAATATCACCAGCCTGATTGCTCCTGCAGATCTGTAGCCCTTGTCCTGCACCAGGGAAATCCTCTCGCAGGCAGGTGTCACGGGTGACAGCTGCAGCCTGGTGGCAGGGACACTGGGCACCAGGTTACTGGGATCAAGTCCAGCTCTGCTCCTTGCCAGCTGGGGGACCTTGGGCAAGTCGCTTCACCTCGTGGAGGCTTCATTTCCTCAATAAGAATAACAAATATCTATGTATTGGTGCTTAATGGCTTCAAACCCACCTCCACCTGCTCATGTGGTGGTCTCAAGCTCTCTGTAGGCAGCTGATCTTTATCACCTCCATGGAATAGCTCAAAAAACTGTGGCTCTCTGAGTAGGGCTTTGAATCCCTGTTCCCTTAAAAAATGGTATGACTTTGGGCAAATCCTTGCCCTCTCTGATCCTCAGTTTATATAAAATGGCAACGATATGGCAAGCAAGTGTATTGCCAGGCACCTACAGGTGCCCAGTGAAAGAAAGCTGCTGTTTGGATTCGTTATTTGTATATTATTGACCTTTGCCTAGGATCACAAAGCGAAAGTCAGCACTGCTGAGCCAGACGCCAGGCTGCGGCCTGCTTCCCTGCTGCAGGGGCATGTGAAACTTCCTTCCCAGGGTCAGCTGGGGTAGCATGGTTGGCAGTGCAGTGTGAACTGCGAAGTGCCAGGTAAGGCCCCAGACCTCTCCCTCTGGTGACATAAATCCAATTGCTTGTCATAGACTGTGCATTTTAAGCCTGGACCCTTTTTAGATCATGCTAAAAGTTATTCTCCAGGCCCTACCCATGTTCTTCTTAGCTCAAAGGTCTGACTTAAATGCCCTTTTCCTGCACTCATGGAACGGGAAGAGAAGGAAAGCTAGCAGGCCCCTTCCTGCCCTGTCAGGCCAAAGGTGGGCACACCTTGGGAAGGTTGGGGCACAGTGGGCTTGTGTCCAGCCATCGGGCCTGTGATGTGGGGCCCGGCCCTCTTGGGGGCTAATCCTGTTTTGTGCTGCTCCCTTGGAGCAGGCTCAGAGCCTAAGCCAATTAAAAGCCTCTCTTTGAAGGTGGTTCAGGTTTCCCAGAGAGCACAGGCCTGCCCAGTGACCCCAGGCAATCGCTTCGGGCACTGCCCTCCTCTCCTCCCTGCCGGCCAGAGCTGGAGGAGGACCAGGGCTGTGTCACATTCTCCCGCTCCAGGCCCCAAGATGACAGTGTGGGTCCTTGGAAGAGGCAGGGTGGAAGGGATAGAAATCACTTCCCGTCTTACAGATGAGGAAAGGGAGGCCCGGGATAACTCGCCCATGGCGCACACCTAGTAAATGCAGGGCTGAGATTCAAAGTGGAATATGCCAGCTCAAAACCGGTGCCCTTTCTCTCTTTCTAAGACAAGAAGCAAACCTCTGTCACCTTGAATCCCAGCACAAATGGGGCATATAAATATTTGTTCAGTGATTAAATGAATGAATAAATAATGCTGAACAGGGACATTCGTCTTAATGCAATAGTACGAATGGACTGGAGAGTTCCAGAACTGCATCTGGGCCAGAGTGAAATACCTGCTAATAACAATAGTGACAATAGCCATGATAATAAATAATGGAGTGCTAAGCCTGTTCTCTGAGCTTTGTACCTAATAACTCATGCGGTCCTCCCACCAACCCTATCAGGTTGGTAGAATATTATCTCCACGTTAGAGAGGAGGGGGCAGCATGGAGAGGCGACTCCCTCCTGGCACACAGCTGGGGTGGCCAGAGCTGGGAGCTGAACCCTAGCTGTCTGACTAGAGAGGGATGCTCTTGGCCCCCATGCACTTCTTTCTCTTGAACTTTTGGCCTCAAGCGATCCTCCCACCTCAGCCTCCCAAAGTGCTGGGATTGCAGGCGTGAGCCACCGCACCCAGCCAACTAACAGGGAATGTCCTCCTCTGTCAGGTGGCGCTGGGGATGCTCTTTCACCCCACCTGGCTCACTGCACTGTGGTGTCCCAGTGACGCCTGAGACGTGAAGGGCTTCCATCAGAAGCCCTGTGCTAGACAAACCTGGGTTGCTGGTGGCTGGCAGGGGCCGTGCTGGGCCCTAGACACCGTGACCCTCTGGGCTCCAGCCCTGCGGAGAGCACACAGCTTCACTCTACCCCCTGTGCTGCCTGGAGTAGCCTGCATGCCTGGTACCGTTAACAACTGAGATTAACAACCCGCGAAGCGGAACCGCTGGAGTGACAGGCAGACTTCCTTAATGAAAACAAATGCAGGGCCACAGCCAAGAGAACAAAGTGAGGATCTGGCCTGGGGAAGCCAGACTGCAGTGACCCAGGTGTAACATTAGCCTGCTGAGGGGCCAAGGGCCAGCGCTTCCCCACGGAGAGGACAGGCTCAGTGTCCTCCCGGAAAGCAGAGAGGCGGCCCCCAAGGGAGGCTCTGCTCAGCCCACCAGCGCCAGCTGCAGTGCTGGGCCGCCTGGGGTCTGCGGGGGAGTGTGGTGTCTGTCCTCTGCTCCCGGTGGCTGCTGGGAAGGTAAACAGAGCCTCCTCAGCTAGAGTCGGGGGCTCCCCCCACGCAGAGTGATTAAGGACATTCTGAGAATGTCACCTCTGAGCAGCGGGAAGGTCCCAGTCAGGAGGAGGGGGCATCCGAAACAGGAGAATGCAGAGCTTAGAGCTCACATCCACTGATTTCCTGCTAAGGAACACGTGGCCGAGCCCAGGGCCCAGGGCAGACCCCCTCAGCGTGCCTGTGTTTTCTGGGTGGTTTTGTGTTTGATTTGGAAACCCCGTAGGGATTTGGGGCTGGATGGTACAAGTTCACTCGGGACTTGTGTTACCGGGATCTCTGATCCTAGCAATGGGGTTCACACTGCAGCATGTTTCTGCTCCAGCTGGGAGCTTGGTTGGATCAGAATCCTCTTAGCATGGGGATTGGCATTCCTCAAACATGTGGAATTCATCCACCAGTGTTCCCTCCTAACTGTGGGATAGTTAATCATTTCCTTGTCTGCCTCACCCTCAGGATGCATGGAAAATTTAAGGACAGACCTTTGCACTCAGAGTCAAAAGAACCGGGCTTCATCTGAGTCCTGGTCCCTGCCTTTTGTAGCTGTGTGACTTTGAAACAAGACACTTTGCCTCTCCAAACTTCAGGTCCTGTACCTAGTACAGGACCGTAACACAGCTACTTATAGGTGTTTGTTCATTTATTCAATTAGACTCTATTTATTAAGTGCCCACTACTTATAGGCTGGAAGCTTGGGATTCCACGTTCGACGAGATGGACACAGCCCCCACCTTCATAGAGGTTAAAGCAGGAAATTAAGCAACTACGTAAATACAAATATAATATAAATATTATGTTGATAAGTTCCCAAAAAGAGAGGTTCAGGGTGGCAGATTAAATCATGTAAAAATGTGGAAGAAATGTATAAGTCATGAAGTACTGTTAAAACATTAGGCACTGTCTTTATTATCTTCATAACATTTCTTCTTATTTTTTAAAGTACTGTAATAATTTGAGCCCCAGTTTCTATAATATGGAGATTATAATAATACCTGTGTCAGCTAACCTTTGCTATGTAACATACCACCCCAAAGTGTAGTGGCTTAAAATGATCCTTTGTTGGTTCCTGTTTCTGAGAGTCAGTAATTTGGGCTGGGCGAAGCTAGGTGGTTCAGATAGTGTCCTCTGGGCTCACCTTGTGACTGCAGTCTCCTGGGGGCTGGTGGGCTCAGCCCTGTGTCTCCAGCAACAAGCAGGCTAGCCTGGGCCTCTCTGCATGGTGGCTGTTTACCAAAAAGCAGCAGAAGGCAAGCCCAAATGCTCAAGGGTTTTTCATGCCTCTGATTCAAGTTTGCTAATATTGCCTTAGCCCATGGGCCAATGCAATTCACATGGCTGGCCCCAGAGCCAGTGGAGGGGACTACACAAGGAAGGTTTGGATACAGGGAGGTGTGATTCCTCGGGAGCCGTTGCTATAGTAATCTACCACTGTGCCCAACTTCCAGAGGTGTCCTGAGGATTTAGTAATAAATACGAGATGCTGCACTTGTGGTGTTTGTATTAACGCAGGTGCCTGTGCATAGTAGATGCTTAAGAATTGGTAGGTAAATGTGCATCTGAGCAACTTGCTGTGTGATTGGGGAAAAAAGACATGACACAGGAAGGAAGTAGCAAGTGACTGGCCAAAACAGAATGTCAAGTGTGGCATTGTAGCTGGAAATCATAAGATGCCAGAGCAGTTTCTGATAATGAGACTGCATCAGACTCTTCAATTTTCAACCCTGGTATTTTAAAAAGTGACATTGACTAAAAGAAACTTTTTCAGAGAAGGATGGCCAGTATGGGGTGAGGTGGATGAGAACTTAATCAGAGGAAGGCATGGGAATATTTTTCCTGGATAATAATGCTGCTGCTTATTGATTTATTTATACCTGCTGCTTATTGATTCTTCACTGTGGGCCAGGCATAGAGTTAGGCATTTCCTAGGATCGCCTCAGTTAAGCCTCCATACAGCCCTGGGAGGCGGTAGGCGCTGTTTCCAATTTACAGATGAGGATACTGAAGCTCAGGAAGTTTATTTGTCCAAAGTTGCACAGGAAGTATGTGATAGGTTCAAGGTTCAAATCCAGGTCTGCCTGATTCAAAAAAAACCTGTTTTTTTATTGAAATTTTTTAGATAATTATAATTCACATGCAATTATAAGAAATAATACAGAGATATCCTGTGTCGCCTTTGCCCAGTTTCCCCTAATAATAACGTTTTGCAAAACTATAGTAAGAGAGCAGATATCACAACCAGGATACTGACATGGATACAATCAACTCATCTTATTCAGACTTCCCATTTTACTTGTATTTGAGGGAGTGTGCCTGCATGTGTGTGTCTACTTCTATACTATTTTATCACATGTGTAGGTTAATATTAATATATTCAATCAAGACAATGAACATTTCCCACCGTAAATTTCCCTCACATTGCCCTGGGAGAGCCACACCCATATCCTTCTCACCCCTGCCCCAGCCCTAAGCCTTGGCCACCACCAATCTGTTCTCCATGTCTAAAGTTTTGTTATTTCAAAACTGTTTTATAAATGGGATCATATAGTATGGAACCATTTGCGATTGTTTTTTTCCCCACTCAGCATAAAAAAAATTCCTTGGTGATTTGTTGTGTTGTTATTAGTTCATTCCTTTTTATCACTGAGTAGTACTGCATGGTAGTCTACCATTTATTTCACTATTCACCTGTTGAAGGACATCTGGGTTGTGTCCAGTTCTCAGCTGTTATGGATAAAACTTCTATCAACATCATCACACAGATTTTTACATGAACATAAACTTTCATTTCTAGGGATAAATACCCAGGAGTGCAATTGCTAGGTTGGACGGTAATTGCATATTTAGTTTTCTAAGGAACTGCCAAACGGTTTTCTAGACGGACTCTACCATTTTATATTCTTACCAGCAATGCATGGGTGATCCAGTTTCTCTGTATCCTTGCCAGCATTTAGAGTTGTTACAATTTTTTTATTTGAACCATTCTAATAGGTGTGTGGTAATAGCTCATTGTGGTTTTAATTTGAATTTCCCTGATGGCTAAGTATGTTGAACATCTTTTCATGTGCTTATTTGCCCTCTGTATATCCTTTTTGGTGAAATATCTGATCATATCTTTTGGCCATTTTCTAATTATATT